CAAAGAAGCTAAATGGGAACATTTCAAGGTCAGCTTCCACAACACAGATGAATCCCTGAGCATTTTTCTAAGTGAAAGCTGCCAAGCAGAAGGGCTACATATGACATGGTTCCATTGGTTGGACATTTTGGAGAGGGGAGACCATGAGGAGAGGAAACGTGGGAGTGCAAGGCCCTGGGAACAGGGAGGGGTCAACTGTAAAAATGGATAGATGGATGGATGCATGGGTGGGTAGATGGATGGATGTACAAATGGGTGGGTGAATGACAGTTCCATTCATTCCTTCACACATACATTCACTATTTTGTAAATAAGAAGTGATCAATTCTATTAAGTGTTTCAAAGAGACCAAGGGAGGTGAGTGACAGGTTTCCCAGGATCCATAGAGTGATTGATGCCTTAGATCTCTATGTGAATGTTTCCTGGGTGATGGGTGAAACTGACCTACAAGATGCTATGTCCACCACTTCTTTCCAGAGCAGAGTTTCTTGCCACGAACCCTGGGGCTTCCAGGAAAGCAGGCCTTGGCCCCGAGAGGCATACCTATTGTGGGTAGAAGCTTAGCCAAAAAGAGCCTGGTATTGGTTAGGCCCCAACTTAGCTGCCTCTCTCACCATCCAAAACTGTCTGCAAGACTAGGTGAATCCTTTAGCCACTCAGAGCTTCTGCTTCCTCATCTGCAAAATAGGGACCACAAGCTGCTCAGGATTGCCTAGGAGATCCAAGGGCTTTGAAAAGTTAGTATCGCACCCTTTGCAGCTTGACATGGGTGCCGCTGTCTCTGTGAGCTTGCTATGCCGCACCTGCCTCCGCCAAGTCAGTCACTGCTGCTTTGGTCTGCTCCTCACCATCACGGCCAGCTTGTCTATCATGTGTTTACCTGTCCATCTGCACTGAGCCAGACAGGATGTAAGTACACATCCATGAGACTCAGCACCTTGCCTAGTACCTGTACATAGTAAATGCTCAAGAAACACACATTGATTGCTACTCTTTCAGGATCCAGGTATTTTCTAACCCACTGCTTTTTGAACACCTTTGGTGCCCTCTGAAAGTCACATCACCATCTTAGATGAAGTTGGTCAAGATGCTCAGAATACACAGAATCTCATTTGATGGTTCCCCAGTGCCTGCAGAATAAGTACCTCACAAGTACTAGGTGAATAAATGTATTCATTTTGAGAACTAGCAACAATATTCACAAAACTTGTAAAGCCTCTAAGAGACATCATTAATTCAGAACATCATCTTATGTGCCTTTTTGTATGTAAACAAACAAAAACTGCAATGTCACCAAGCATGATGTCATATGCCTGTCATCCCAGCATTCTGAGAGGCTGGGGCAAGAAGAACACAAGTTGGAGCCCAGCCTGGGCAACTTAATGAGAACCCTCCTCAAAATAAAAAAGGGCTGGGAAGATAGCTCAGTGTGGAGGTCCTGGGTTCAGTTCCCAGTACCCAATCCCCAGAACCAGGCTCCAAAGGCAAGAACCTTAAAGAGAGGGCTCCTTCCTCCGCCCCTCCTCCATCCCCTTTCCCTGTCTCCCCTCCGGCCCCAGGATCTGTAGGGTTCTAGGATCATCCCTGCTTCCCTGATCTCAGCTCCACCTGCAGATAAATCTGTCCCTTCCCTACACCCCAGCCCTGGATTTCTGCAGTTTAAAGGCTTAGGAGTGACCCCCAAAAGCCATGTGTGTGCCCTGCTGAGGCTTCCCTCCTCCCCAGTGGGGATTTGGGCAGTAGAGATGCGAACATCACGCACTTGAACACAGCCCAGGGCTCCTCACCTCAGCAAGCGGTGGGAGGAGCGCAGAGGTCTCCCTGGGGACATGGAGTGACCCTGCTCCCGCTTGTGGCCTGGGTAACCTATTACTCTCGCTGTGTCTTGCTTTCTTTTCCCCTCGAAGCCACTTTTGTTTTCTCTCCTGTCCTCACATGTGAGCCGTGGGGACAGGATGCTCCTATATATTGACAGTTCTCTGACTTACCTCATTTAATCCTTACAGCACTGGGCCTGCTGTGATCCCCACTCCTAGGTGAGGGAACACCCCTTAGCTGTTAGCAACATGCCAGGGTCACAGAGGCCAAAGGGGCAGAGGCACCTCCTGAAGCCTCAGTCCGTCTGCTTCTGTGCTGGACGCATGACTTGTCGGCAGTTCCCAGTCGTTGCTGTTGGTGACAAAGGTGGAGGGACAGGGTCCCCCCACAAACCTTGCCAGGTTATGGAGGCTCCTACCTTAAAGATGTGGGTGGACTGGGCTCAGTCCAAGCCAACAACTGGGGAGAGCAAGTGGCCCTTTGCCTGCTGCAGCCTTTGATGTCCATGCCAGGACGTGCCACCCACACTGAGGACGGCTGTGTCATCACACTGAGTTTTTGCAGCTATTGCCACTGAAGAGGCTGAGAACCAGAGAGGTACAGTGACTCTGCCAGACAAGCTCACAGGTAGTTGAGCCAAGATCCCAATCCACAGTGCAGCATGATTTCTGGTCTCAGTGTGTAAGGCTGTTCATTTCCCTCTCTGAGCCTCACCTGAAAGCAGAGACATGTACGGCTACAGCTCCTCCCTCTTGGGTTTGGAATGTGCTAGGAATGTGAGTGAACACCGAGAGTGGAGAATCATAAGCAGCTGGGAGCCCTGCTGGTCACCTGCAGTCTTTTCTGGAAAAATCAAGGCCGTAGATGGTGTCTGCTGTCCTCCATGGTCACCCAGCATGCACTCCAAGGTCCAGAGCAAGGCAGCAGGGCTGATAGAGGAGTCTGTTCCTACCAAGGACAGAGCCATTTATAACCCACACCCTTGGTCTGCTGGAGGCCAGATGATACATCCTCAGTGGCAGAGAGGCAGCACGACTTGATTCTTACCCTAAAGAATTCGTAAGATTGGATAAATCACCCGCTCTCGAAACACTGGTTTGGAGATCAGGAAATGTCTCAAATTCTCCTGGCAGAAGTGTCTATTGATCGGCAGAAAACATCCCAGACAGTTCCATTTCTCCTGGAAACAAGATCCTGGCCACAAGAATGCCAGATCTCTTTATAATTCTCTATCTATGTGCAGACAAACCTTGAAGCAAAGCCTGCCCTTGAACTGGCAACAGCAATTCTGTTAAAGAAGTTTGATTTTTTTAAAAAAAAAAGAAGTGACAGAATCTATTTTTTTTAAGAATCTATTTTTTATTAAATCCTTTTTTTGTTGTTGTTGTTTTGGTTTTTTGAGACAGGATCGCATTATGTAGTCCAGGCTGGCCTTGAACTCACTGTGTAGTTCAGGATGGCCTCAAACTCACAACGATCCTCCTGCCTCAGCCTCCTGAATGCTGAGATTACAGGCATGCACCACCATGCCTGGCCTCATTAAATGCTTCCTGTTTCAAAGTGGGAAAATTTTCTGGGTGCCTGAGGAGCTGCTGTTTTCTCTTTTTTCTTGCAAAAATCTGATGTTTAAAAAAAAATTTTTTAACTCCATAGAATGGAGAAACTATCATTTTCAGAGCTTAGCATCAAATTATATTTACAGAGAAGGGACTTCTGTCCTGAACATTTATTTAACAGGCATTTATCAAGTTCCTATTACCAACCTGGTGGCATCCCAGGTACTAGACAGTTGGGAAGGGTAAGAGCATTCTAACAGGATGAGATGATCTAGATTATTATTTTGGTTAGTATTTTACCGTTGGTTATTCAGTTGATTAAGGTTTATTGAGAACCTACTGAGGATGCAGTGGAGAACCAGGTAGCATGAATCCCTGCCTTCTGGAAGCTTCCAGCCTTTCTGGAGTGATACAGACCAGTAGAGGTCTGGGAGTGTCTTTCTGGGGACTGTGGAAATGGTGTTCATTCATGGAAGTGTTTCTCCATCGGTCATCTCAGGAGGTAGGGCAGGTGAGAAAGCATCAGTCCTCCACTACCCATGGGTGTTCTGAGGCAGACAAGTTGCCTAGAGCTGCTAGGAGCTACAGAGATGATACTGAAACCGCAAGTGTTTGATTTCACTCATTTCCACATTCTGGCTATCATGGATAATGTGGCTGTGGGCATTTGTGCACGGATTTTTGTGTAGACATGGGTTTTCACTTACCAGGGATACGTGTTTAGAAGTGGAATTGCTGAGTCTTGTGGTAACTGTTACTTACTGATGAACCCCCAAAGCTGTCCCATTTCACATTCCCACCACCAATGGCTGAGGATTTTATTGTCTCCACGTGTTTGTCAAGACTTGTTATTGTCTGATTTTTGGGTGATAGCCATCCTACTGAGTGTGAAATGTTATTACAATAAGTTCCCAACTTATGAACATTTGAGTTGCAGACTTTCAGAGGTGTACTGTAGAAGATTCACAAGGGCACTATATAAGACACGCATTGTTGGGTTATGAAAAAATCCAACTTAACCACATTCTCCCGGAACAAGACTCATTCCTGAGTCAGGGACTTACTGTATACTATTTTCAAAGCACAAAGCTTATCTAAAACCTGATCCATTCTAAGGTACTAGACTATGTGAGTAATTCAATAAGTAAGTCCCCAATTTGCAAACATTCGAATTGTGAGCTTTCACAGATATGAACGGACCCTGCATTACAAACATTTGTAGATGCAAACAAATCACAGAAGCATGTGTCACAGTTGCACTGCTGTTTGCTTACCATGCTCAAAAGTAAAAATAATTTATTTACCATATTTGTGAGTGCGTTTGTTTTTGTAATACTTTGTGTATTTGTGTCAAAGGTGTGTAAGACTCACTTTGTCAGACTTACAAATGAATCTAAGTTGCAAATGTTTTTCTGGAACAGAATTCATTCATAAGTCAGGGATTTACGGTATCTGGCAATGTTTTCCTAAGACTACTGGTCTACCCTGGGCTGGGAAACAGCTGCCCCTCTTGCTGCTCAATCCAGGCCGGTGGACTCTCACTTCTCAGTGGACTCCCAGAGCTCAAGTGAGATTTGTTCTGGGACCTCGACACCTAACACTCTGCCATCTCTTCTTGTCTTCCAGCGATTCACGAGTTCCCCACGGACCTGTTCTCCAATAAGGAGCGACAGCATGGAGCTGTCCTGCTGCATATCCTCGGTGTAAGTAGTCTTTGTGGGTGTGACATTATTTAACTTGGTGTTGTGAACCCTGTCTGTGTGGTGTGGCAGAGCCGTAGCACATCTGAGATTTGTTTAGTGTTTGTAGCAGCTCTGGGAGGAGAGCAGATGCTGACTGGTCCACTTTCTCCGCGATGTTTTTGAGATGTTAGGGGATGCCCAGTGTCACGTGGCTAGTGGCCCCGAGCCCACACAGAATGGTGCTCTTTCTTGTGCCTCATTTACTGCTTGTATAAAATAGGGATGTCACCTCCTGTTCCAGAGTATAAACATGAGTGGATGTGCGTCCAAGGGCATCAGATATCATATGGCGCATAAGTCCTCCATGTTTGTCATGATTACCACAACTGCCCTCAAACTGTACCACTGCACTGTAACTGCAGCTGGAATCTTTGATGCGCTTCTAAAACTTCCCTCAGTAGTCAGAGAGACCCTAATGACGTGTGGTAGAGTTCAGTAGCAGTTCAAAAAGGAGTTATAGTTGAACCTAAATTACAGGTCTCCGGACCCTGATAGGGTAGACAAACTAGCCCCACCCAGATCCCCCCCCCATGCCTGTTTTTATAAATAAAGTTTTATTGGAATGCAGCCCTTCCCTTTCAGGGCTGTGGGAGCCATAGTGGCTTTTGAGCTTCAGTGCCAGGAAAGAACAGTTTTATCAGAGACTAAGTGACTCATAAAGCCAAAGATATTTACTTTCTAGTCCTTTATGGGAACCATCATTGGACTGTACTGAATGGTGTGGGAAAACATCTGGTCCAGGTTGATGTTTCTACTTTGGATCAACCATACCACAATTCCCAACCACCCAGCACTGTCTATTGTATATTTAAACCCAACCAAGTAACAGTGTTTTTAAAGAGATAATCAAGAAAGTGGAATCTGGAATTCTCACACAGAGAGCAACAATCAGAATAATGAATGTGTGAATTTTTAATTAACAGAACAAACCACTTATGAAAATGCAGGTTTAGAATAAGGGTCACAGGCATATTTTAAACTACAGGCCTGTATATTTTTTTCTGTAATGAAATCATTATCTCCCTAGAGTCTCTGGCTTTACCCTCCTTCCCTTCTCACTAAGGGAGAGTGAGTTTGACTGATTGGTCCCATAGTCCCTTGGCCCTGGCTCCTGAAAGTCTTGGCATAACTGTGGCAAAACTCTTCTTGTTGGGCCGGGATTTAGCTCAGTAGCACCATGCCTGCCTCACAAGTGCAAGGTCCTGAGTTTGTTCCCCAGTTCCCCAAAGAAAACCCCTTTTCTTGTTGACTCCCTCAGAGATTTTACAGGAACCTTTTAGAACAGGAGTTACCAAATATGCCTAGAGGGCCAAATGCAGCCCACTTCCTGACTTTATAAATAAAGTTTTATTAAAACACAGCCATACCCATACAAGGAGTCCTCAGATCCACATTAGCAGAGTAGTTTCAACAAAGACCTTTTGGCCCACAAAGCCCAAAGTCTTCCACTCTGGCCCTTCATAGAGAAAGTTTGCTGACCTCTTTAGTTGGCGGGAGAACTTCAGCACAGAAGCCGTTTTGTCTGCAGCCCTGCTAAGTTGTTCATACTTTGCCTGGGAGGCAGTGTTGTGGGTATAAATTCACATCAGCCTCCCAAGCCCTGGGGTGGGGTCTCCCAGTTGCTCACTCCCCTTACATCTTCACCATTTATTTCCTTTTTGCTCTGGCCCAAAAGATAATGAGTCAAATCTGGGGACAGTCACTCTTGGACTTTAGGAGACACCTGCCCCAGGTGCCGTGGCCAAAGATACTGTATCTTCTACTTCACTTCATCACAGTTATAATTCATGAAGTTGTTTTGGTTAAAACTGCCTGGCCTTTCTCTTTTGCGAACAGGGCATCCGTGACCTTGTTCAGAGTAAAACCCATCTCCTTCCCATGAGCCCTAACCCTTGCCCTTCCCTCCAACCTGACATTCTCCATTCTCTACCTCCCTCACGCTCTTCCTCGTGCACCCATGATACTGCTGTTCCTCAGAGCCGTCAGGCACACGCTTGCCTCAGGGCCTTTGTACTTGCTGTCTCTGGATTGTTACAGGCACATCATTTGCCTGTTTGTGTTTGTCGCACACTAAGGTAAGTCACAAGAGTCAGAGGCTTTTCCTGGCATCCTCACCACTGTCACCCTGCCGCCTACAATAGTGCCTGGCACGCAGGACGAGCTCACTGAAGCTGGGCTGGGTGTCTGGAGAAATGACAGAACAGGCAGAGATTCCAGCTAGAAAACCATTTTAAAAGTACCAATAAAGAAACTGAGTCCTAGAGATGGATATGACCTAGCCAAAGTCATAGGGCAAGTAAGCCCAAGAGTCGGTGCACACGTACCTCCCAATGTAAACAGGCTGTGTACTTTCCCATGGGCTGACAGCCGACTTCCGGCAGGCCCCCAGGCTGGCCCTCCAGGGACTGGAGCTGTTGGTTTCAGCAGGGCATGGGTGGGTGGTAACAAGGAAACGGTGCTCTCACTACAGGTAAAGTGGGCACAGCAGGGTGATGCGTGTTTTAGACTTGTTAAGTGGTCATTTGAGATGCTTTCCCTCTTTGGCCTTTTGAAGGCAGACCCTGGTACTAGAAAAGAAAGCTGCTTCTCTAAGAAAGGACAGGAGAGGTAAAGTGTGCCTCCCGCTGTCACACTCTGGTCACCAGTGTGTGGAGGACGATTTCCCACACACCAGGAAGTTTGTAGGCGGACACCAACCGGGTACCCCATCATTCAGTTCAATTTAGATGCCATCTACTTGGAGGCAGTGCCAGGCCCAGCAAGCTGAGGCTCAGTCCCACGACTGCCTTTGCTGGAGGCCTCAGTCACAAAGCCATGTGGTCACACTGGCTAACTGGCTACAAACCGGGGTCCCTGCCTGCCCCTCCTCAGGGTGAATAATGTCCTAGAGTGGCTCACAGAACTCAGGGAACACATGCTTAAGTTTCCATGTGTTGTAAAGGATGTCACACAGGTACAGGGTTATGGCCAGGCGGAAGAGACACACAGGGCGAGGTGGGGGAGAAGGGTGACCTCCATGCGGTCAGCTGTCCAGAGCTCTTCCAAACCTGTCCTTTTGGGTTTTACGGAGCCTTCATCCTTGGCCACAGGTGACCAGCTCAGCCTTCAGCCCCTCTCTCCTTCCCTCTCCCCTCCCCCAAGTCCCAAGCCTCTGATGCTGCCTGGGCCTTTTGGTGACCAGGGCCATCCCACAGCTACCCAGGGGATCCAGCCACCTGGCATCTCGTCAGCGTGCAGACTGTCTTACCACCCCAGAGATCCAAGGGCCGCAGGAGCTGTGTGCCGGGGACCCGGAACAGAGACCAAATTTGCATTTCTTTTTGTTGTTGTTGTTTGGAAGGCAACCAGGCTCAGACTGTATTCACCTGGGTGCAGGTCGACTGAGGGCGAGCAACCTGTCAGTGGTGAACAAAGAACAGGCAGAGATTTTTATAGGGGATCGGGAAGGGGTCTGGCACGTACAGGGGTTGGAGCAAATATTTGTGGTCAGGGTCCACCCAGCGGTCAGGGCAGATGTGTGGGTGTTGTCGGTTCACTTGGCACCAGGAAGACAGTGTGCTGGACTTTGTGGTCTTTTCTCCTTTCTATAACATCCATTCTGTGTTCTGTGTGTGAGGACATGGCACACCTGTATCTAGGTGGAGACAGCTGGACGTATACCTGGTCTTAGCCACCTAAGGAGGGGTGTGTCCTCGCTGAGGGCTGTGGTTTTTTGCATCTGCTAAAACTGTCCGTGGGTGCCTCGCCTGGCTCCATGTGATCAGCACTGTGCGTGGTGCTGTAGTAAACGTGGGTATGTGGGTATCCCCATAGCATGCAGGCTTCAATACCTCCTAGGCATCCGAAATGCCGAGTTCGTGTTCTCTAAACTCGAAGAATGAATTCTAGGTACAATGGAAGTTAGGAGTAGGAAGAATTTTTTAAAAATTTGTCTTAGTACATGTTTGTAGTACATAATGATTACATTCATCGTGGGGAATTGGTACCTGTACATAGCAAACACATCTTAATTCCTTTTACTTCTTCTCTTCCTCTCATCTCCATTATCTCTTAGTACCTTTTCCATTTGCAAAAAATCAAGCTGTTTCCTATTGTCTATCTTTAACTTGCTCTTTAAATTTTTTATACTTTGGGTTTCTCATATAAGAGAAACCATGTGATATTTAAGCTTGTGTCTGACTTATAGTATTTCACTTAATAGTATGGTTTCAAGGTGCCTCCATTTTTCTACAAATGAGTCATATTTATCCTTCTTTAGAATAGAGTGGTACTTCATTGTGTATAAATATCCTATTTGGGACCCCTCCTGTCTCCCAGGAGCTATTCTTACTCCTAATTCTTATTCTCCATTCTTATTCTGCAATAAATTTTCCTCCTCTTAACCTCTGTTGTTCCGTAGACAAACGCAGCATATCTGACATCTATCATGATGGGAGTAACATCTATTCCCCCTATATCCCCCTTTCTGTCTCTCTTATACAGAAGCTGTCTTTCTCTCAATAAATCCTTCCCAAATTTGCATTTCTTACTAGGTCACAGTACCACGGAAAGGAGGAATCACAAGCCCGTGTGGCCTGCGTTTTAGTCCCCACTGCTGCTCAGCAGGCTGTTTCTCTTCTCTGGGCCTCGGCTTCCCTGTCTGTCGGTGCAGAGATAGCGACCACATCCTGTCCCTGGCATCTGTGCAGGCAGCCCGCTTGGGTGGCATGTCCCCTCGGTGGCAGGGCCCACACCAACCCAGTCTGTCTCATTTCCTTCTCAGGCTCTGTACATGTTCTACGCCCTGGCCATCGTGTGCGACGACTTCTTTGTTCCGTCGTTAGAGAAGATCTGTGAGGTATTTGGAAGGGACTTGGGGACCCTTGGCAAAGCCCCAGAATGATAAAGGACAAGTGGCATGTAAATGACAGGGCAAGAGGGCCAGGTCTTGGGTGGGGAGTGATCTGGACGCAGTGTTGGCCCACAGTGGTGCTGAAGCCACCTAACAGCAGAGAGGGATGGTGTCCTCCCCCAGAGCCTGGCAAAGGAAGCCACTGCCAGTATGAAGTCACCATCCAGAATGTTGGCATCAGTGTACCATGTGTGCCAGCCCTGGCATTTCAGTCCTGGGGACGGGAGCTCTGACTCTCTGTGAGCAGCTGGGCGACACACTTGTCATGGCAAAGAAATCCAGATGCAAGAGCCAGGTGTCCCACAACCCTGATCTTTTCATATGGGGCCCTGGGCACAGGCCCCAGGGTGGCCTGGTGGGCTCTTGTTGAGTCAGGGATCCAAAGATGGCAAAGTCCCTGCCATCGTGCTCCAGCAGGGAAGCAAGTGTGGGCACCACATGCCCTCATCTTCTAATGTGTGTTTGAATAATGGAGGATAAAACAGGCCAGGGTCCAAGGGGGAGCAGCTGGCTCTGGGAAGATGCAGGAAAGGCTTCAAGGGGCCATTACTGAGTCAGAAGCTGGAAGAGTGAACAGGAAGTAGATGGCTCAGGGAGGGACAGGGGCTTCGGAGCTAAGGCCTGGGGGGTGGGAAGCTTGTGCTCAGGCTCAGGGAAGAGAGGCTGCACCTCTGCCCTAGACATGGGCTCAGTCCACTATGGCTTCCTGCATCCTCAGCTCCTCAACCACCTAGGTGTCCTGTCCACTGCCCCTGTGTCACACTCTAAGGGCCTGTGGTCCCTTATGTTTCAGAGACTTCATCTGAGCGAAGATGTGGCTGGAGCCACCTTTATGGCTGCGGGAAGCTCGACTCCAGAGCTGTTTGCCTCTGTCATTGGTAAGGCACAGGCTCCAGGGAGAGCCCACACTCGACACCCACACCCGCAAGGACATTTGTTAGCTCTGAGCCCCGAGTTTCTTGTCTGTAAATCCCGAGATCCAGAGGGGCAGAAAGTAGATTGGTGGCTTCTCAGGGTGGAGATGCTAAAGGGTGTGAGGTTTCCTTTGGAGATGATGAGGATGTTCTAAAATTAGGTCCTGATTTTACTTCCATAATTCTGGGAACAGACTAAGCCCTGGACAGTATTCCTCAAGCAGATGAATTTTATGGCATGGGAATTGCATCTCCATAGAGCTGTTTAAAATATGGGAGCATTGGGGGGGCTGGTTCCTGAGGGTCCCTCCACCTGGCTGGTTTTGCCCTTTGCACTCGCAGTGCTGTGGTTGACACTAAGGAGGACCTGCTTCCCTCAGAGTGGAGACACTGACACATGGGCGGCCAGGCCATGCGGCCAAGGGTGTAGGACTCATGTCTCTCCCTTCCTTCTTCTTTCTCTCTCTTTTATGGTGGTACTGGGGGTTGAACCCAGGGCCTCTGCACTGAACCACCCCCCCCTTTTCCATTTTTTCTATTTTGAGATAGGGCTCACTAAGTTGCTCAGTTGCCCACCCTGAGCTAAAATTTGTAATCCTTCTACCTCAGCCTCCCAGAGTGCTGGGACTACAGGTGTGCGTCTCCATGCCAGTTTCCTGTCTTTCCCCTTCCAGGTGTCTTCATCACCCATGGGGACGTCGGGGTAGGCACCATCGTGGGCTCTGCTGTGTTCAACATCCTGTGCATCATTGGCGTGTGTGGATTGTTCGCCGGCCAGGTCGGTGGATGACTTCTCGGCCTGGAGGGCCAGTGCTTATACTGTGGGAGACAAGCTTCTCAGGAGAGGTGGCCCTGGGGACACAGCTGAGGCCAGGCCAGTCACTCCTTTGCACTGACTTCCCCTTCTGAGCTGGTTTGCTCCTGGCGGAAGTGGAATTAATGTTCCCTCCCCTCCAAAGTCTGGAGGCCTGAGGGGCACAGACAGTGTCAGTGACCTTGGCTAGTCCCAGGGCAAGCTTTCATTTGGTAGTGACTACTCACCAGTGCCACCTGTAACCTCGTCCCCAAGGAGAGCAGCTTTGGCCTCCCACAGGCATGAACTTGGCTGTTGGTGGTGCCTTGTTCCGTAGCCTCAGGTCCAGGGAAGGACCTGACCTCAGGCAGGCAGGGTCATGGTCAGGCCCTGCCTCTCGAGGTGGCCAGCTCATTGTTCCCAAAGGGACAGGTGGCACCTCTGATTCCCTCCTCAGCCGCCTTCTGCCGCAGACGTGCCTGATCCTCACCTCAGAGGATTAGGGCACTTTCACTACTGCTTGAGAACAGTATTTGGTTCTTTCCTCTTCCACTAGTATCATGAAGGTCCTGGGGTGGCCCGGGAGGACCCGCATCTGCAGGGGTCTAGGTGGCAACTGCACACTTCCAGCCCCCGCCAATAGCAGCTGCTGCCTCTGCTCCGCAGGTGGTCCGTCTGACGTGGTGGGCCGTGTGCCGCGACTCCGCGTACTACACGCTCTCTGTCGTCGTGCTCATCGCGGTGAGTTGCCCCTCCCGCCCCAGGTGGCAGGTTGCCCAGCACCCTGCAAAGGCACAGAGCCCTGCCCATCTCTGTCCCTGACATTGTGTCAAGCACTCCACAGTGAAGTGTGCCAGCCCCGCCCTGGGGTCACAGTGGCCAGTCCCACGTGCCCCTCTGCCTCCTCTTTGCCTCCCTGTCCCAGAAACTCATAGCTGACATCTTGGTTATCAAGCAAACCCAGGAAGCAGCTTCATGGCACAAAGGCCTTGGAAAGCACACACCACATGGTCCATGTGCTGACCCCAAGCACTGTGCTCCTCTAAGTCCCTTCCAACCCCCTTGTAGGCCACTTGCTCTTCTGCCAGACCCAGGTCTCAGAAGAGCTGTCTGGGTTCACTGTCACTGGCGAGCAGGAGTGGGAGGGCAGCTGAGAGTCAGCAGGGAGGGCAGCTGGAAGCCAGGCAGGAGCCAGAAAGGGAAGTTCCCTGAGGGTCCCTGCATGTGTGGGGGTGACCTCGTGGCACGTGGCAGTGAAGCGCACTGCCAAGGAGCATGTCATCCACAGGGGAACATCTTTGACCCAAAAGAGCTTTGAAGTGGTGGCATGAGGGCATATGTAGATTTTAGGGTAGGAAATAGATCATTTCCCAATCTCACCAGACATACAGCCAGTTTATGTGATAGCCATCCCCGTGTATTTGTTAGCTACTGCTGTGTAGTAAATTTTCCCCAAACATAGCAGTTTAAGACCAGCAACACTTATGAGCTCCTGTGGGGCAAAAATTTGGGAGTGGCTCAGCTGGAGCCTCCAGGCCAGGGTCTCTCACAAGATGCAGTCAAGGTGTCAACCCAGATAGAAGGATCTCAGGGCCCAACATGGCTATTGGCTGGCCTCAGGCCTCAGGCCCCATGCTTCCATAGTGCTGCTCAGAGATGACTACCCTCGGATTGACAGTGAAAAGGCCCCAAGGTGGAAGCCACAGTCTTTATACCCTCATCTCACACATGATCCCTCCATCGCTTTCACTGCATTCTCTTTGTTAATGGAAGTCATCAGGTCTGGCCCACATTTAAGGAGGCATCAATGCCAGGCAGTGTGGTCAATGAGCCATCTTAGGGATGCCTACCACATCCCAAATTAAAAATGATAGGTAAAATAATCTACCTAAAGACAATGTCAAAAAATCAATACAGGACCCTAACTGTACCACAAGGGAGAAATACATTTAATTTGTAGTAAAATAATTCGTCTTGGGCCGGGGATTTAGCCCAGTGGTTCTGCTGCCTGCATCGCAAGCACAAGGTCCCGAGTTGAATCCCCGGTACCAAAAAAAAGAAATAAATAAAAGAAGCAGCTCCTGTTTTAAAATATTAATAATTATTATTATTAATAATAATAATAATAATCCATCTTTCAGTACATAAATGTTTCAGCATGAAGATAGTAGGAAATCCAATGAAGCAATTGCTGCCCCTGTACAATCTCGGAGCCATTCGACTACAAATGCAGACTGATGTCCGCTGGGTTAGGCTTAAGCCCCAGGTGGTCCTGACATCATGACACGTTTCCAAAATATTAAATGACTCCTGCAATGATTCTGAATAGACCAAAATGCATCCATCCTTTACTTCACATGATAGTAACCTTACTAGCAAATTCAGCACTTCCTAAAGTTCTGTAAAAATACTTTGATTTATAAATTAGAGACAAGTTTAAGGCCCCAGTCATTGTTTTTCAGTTGCCTGAACATTTATCAGGACATTTAAGATTTGTGCCAAATGCCAAGAAATTCATGCACAAGAACTGTCTCACATGCCTCACACTGAGTCATATCTCTGTCCTTCACTCTCTCTAAATGCCAGTGGCCCTCCTTTGGGTAAAACAGCTAAAACTGTCCCTGTAAATGCCCCTAGCTTCCCCAGGGATAGTCCAGTTCTCTGTTCTGTTGAGTGTTCCTTCAGAAGGCTCAAGTCCAGAAGTTGCCTGACTTGGTGACTTGCTCCGAAATGACTCCCTGAACCAGCTCCTTTGTGTGCTGCCCGCTGTGACAGTTGGGAGAGGAACAAGTCCAAACAATGTTCCCTTGCCTATCCTGGCACCATATGTTGGGATCCTTGTGTTTCCAAGATCAGATTGATGGGAACAGGCTCCCATCATTGTCCATCCTGGGTGATGCTGGGGTGGTCACAGGAGTCCTCCCCCAACTGAAAAAAGAGTATTTATCTGTGCTTTGTAGGAGTTGTTGAGTGTATTGTTTTGGGTACCAGGGATTGAATTCGGGTCCTTGTGCTTACGTAGCAGGTGGTGAAACCATTGAGCTAAATCCCCAGCCCAATGTTGAGTGTATTAATTAGGGTTCTCCAGAGAAACAGAACCAATAAGCAACAAATGGATGGATGGATGGATGGAAGGACAGATGAATGATGAGGACAGATTTGTTTGGTAGTTGGCTCTTGTGATTTTAGGGTGAGAAGTTTCATGAGACCCTCTCCATGCTAGAGACCTAGGGAAATCTGTAGCATGGCCTAGGCCAAAGGCCTGAGGACACAGGGGTCTGCAGGTACAAGTCCTGGAGTCCCAAGACCAAGGCCCCTGGAATTCTGAAGTTCAAAGGCAAGAGCAAGAAGGTGCTCAGGCTCCTAGAGCGAGACAGAGAGGAGACAGAGGGCAAAAGCACAAGTAGAGATTCACTTTTCTTTTTCCTCTCTCCACACCCTCAACTGATTAGACAGTTGAGTGAGGGCAGGTCTTCCTTACTCGGTCCAATCCAAATGCCAGAGTCTTCCAGAAACACCTTCACAGACATAGGCAGAAATAATACTGTACCGACCTTCTGGGTATTCCTTAAGTTAGACAAGCTGACACCTACATTTAATTTTCACAGTGAACAATGCCGGTGTCCCCAGGATCACTCCCCTTCACTTATACAAGCTGGATCTTCCCCTTTGGAATTCCCAAAGGAGTTACCTTTTATTTTTAAGAAAGCTAACCCCCTACACACACACACCCATATGTATAGAAATAGGTTTTCAGTGTTTGAGGTTCCTTGATTTTAGCAACTCTGTCCCCATAATGAGGGGAGGGTCCTTCCAGATTAGTCCCCAGAAGCAGCTCGAACTGCAGGACAGCCCAGGTTCCTTCTCTTGGGGAGACCCCACTGGGCCAGAGCCACAGCTGCAGCCCAGCTGGCCTGGGTTCCAGCTGAGGACAGTCACTGAGAACTGGAACGAGAACCCTGCTTCCTGTAACACACAGCACAAGGCCACTGTGAGTTGGCTCTGGGTGTTTTGGGATTTGCATTGTCCTTCATGTGGAATAAATGTGTCTCCCTTTGTTTCTTTTGTCTCCTAGTTCATCTATGATGAAGAAATTGTGTGGTAAGTTTTTAAAGTTTATTTCACATTGCTTTTTTGTTGTGTTTGCTGAATCTTTTCTAAAAATTATTTTTATAGGGCCAGGGATTTAGCTCAGTGGCTCAGTGGCTCTGCTGCCTGCCTCGCAGGCGCAGGGCCCTGAGTTCGATACCCAGTACCAAAAAAATATATATATTATTTTTATAAACTTAAGCTTATAACTTGAGAAAGGGTATCATCTTGAGAAATCTTGGCTTCATCCTTTCAAAGTGAGAAAAATTGTTTCCCTCTGCATCCCCACCCTGCCAAATGCCAAGATTTATTATAAAGCTAAAATAATGACGGCATTGTGGTATTTTGCACAGAGGTTAACACAGCTGATGGAGACCCCAGTAACGAATGTGCCTATTTGGGGGATGGGGCGGTGGCAGAGGTCAGGGTGAGCAGTGGCTGGGGCTGGGGTTGTGTGCCGCAGAGACGGCTGGCGGAGCAGACAGAACAGCACACATCGAATCTCCCCTCCTGCCTTATATGAGAATCAATTTCAGGTGAATTAAAGGTCCATCAAAATCAAAATTTTAATTTTCTTATTTTGGGGGTCCAGGGCACTGAACCCAGGGTCTTTGCCCTAAGCTACATCCCCAGCCCTTTTATTTTGAGACAGGGTCTCACTGTATTGCCCACGCTAAGCTCAGATTTATGATCCTTCTGCCTAAGCCTCCCAGAGTGCTGGGATTACAGGTTTATGCACCCCTCCCGGTTTAAAAAAAAGAAATTTTAGAAGAAAATATAGGGACTCTTTGGCCTTTCTTTTCAGATTATGATACATGGTGGATTAAGTATGGTTATTCTGTAAATATTTCATTATACAATTTTGTTTTATTTTTTCATAGAAGTAAGGATACTTTTTAAAATTTTCTTTATATTGTACTACATTAAAATAAAAAAATTTAAAGAAAATATAAGAACTCCTTTTTACGACATCCACGTAGGAATTAATTCCTTAAGATAAAAAAGCACAAACCTCTGAGAAACAAGTTGATAGTGAACTCTCTTCGGAAGCACATGAATACATCTCATGTGCTATACAGTTTGCCTGCTCCTGGCTGTGATGGAGAATCTGCACCTGTAGGTGATTGCTTGTGGAAATACTCAGATGATCGGGCCACGGTGTCAGCTGAGTGCTGTGCACCCACAGAAACCTGGTTCTGGTCTCATCTGGGCCCCTAGCCTACTGCATGACCCCGTAAAGCCTCTCTACCTTTAGTCTCGCTTTCCTGAAGTGCAGAGGGAGTTGAGGTGGTGGTTCGATGGTCCGAAGGCTCCGTGGTAGTAAAGGAAGCACTTCCGATGACTGTCACCCACACGGGGCACACAGGGGCTTCAGTACACATCTGTCAGATGAACGAACAGGCTCGGGCTGTGGTCAGAGGCATGGACACCCTCACTCGTGGGATGAGCTGCATTTGCAAGAGAACAGCAATAGCGCTTTCAAGAAAAACCTCCCTCACCACCAACTGTGAGGCACATGTGCCCCGAGCTACCTTTTCCTGGGGACTTGGGCCCCTTCTGCTGCACCCACAGCTTGTCTGGCCCTGACCAGAATTTCCAGTTTCTTTAAGTCTCCTTAGAGTTGAATCTCCAAAGCCCAGGATTGGCAGCCCTGGTTCTTCCTTTTGCTAGGTCTCTGGGATGTAGGGGCTCTCCCTGAGGCCTGTGAACCCCAGTGTTGAGAAGGGGCCCTTCAGCCTCTCTCACTCAGTCTCAGTGGCAAGGCAGCCTCAAGCTGGGGTACCACATTCATTCGCCTGGTCCAGGGCGGGACACTGGAGCCAGGGAAGGGAAGGACATCCAGCCCTCACCCGCCCTGCACCATTTAATCCCAGACTGACCCCCCCTTGTCTCTTCCAGGTGGGAAGGCCTGGTGCTCATCATCTTGTACGTGTTTTACATTTTAATCATGAAGTAAGTGCCCTTTCTTCTCCATCCCCATCCTGCCCCTGTCTTTGCTTAGAGCAGGGAAAATCCTGTCTGATCTCTGAGTCCCTCTGGAGCAGCCCCTGCTGTCTGGTGGAACTCTGCTCGGGGTAGCCAGCGTGGGGGACAGATGATCAGACACTGTTTTGGAGGTGCTGTCTACAGCCAGGCGGGAGAGTCAAGCTGAGTGGCCAGTGTGTGAAGGTGATGCTACTCCCCAGATGAGTCACCAGCAAGGGCCTCGGTCCCACTGTGCTCTGGGAAGCTTCCCCATCTGGCAGGGTAACCACTCCGATTCAGTACCACTGTTCCAAAGGCCAGGCAGCTTAACTTCTCAGGGCCACTACTTTGTCCAACTACAGGGGCCCCCACTCATAGTCCTGGGGACCTGGACCCAAACCACCATCTCACAGCTCCCACAAGGAACCTTAGTCAGCCCTAAAGAGGAATGCAATTCTGACCCATTCCTTGAAGTATGGATTGGATGGATGCATGGATGGATGGGTAGACGGACCTTGAAGACACCATGCTAAGTAGAAGGAGCCAGTTAGAAAGGGCAGCTACTACATGATCCCATGTGCATCTGGTATCTAGAAGAGTCAAGTTTATAGAGCTAGATTAGAGGTCACAGAGGGGGGTCGGGGAATGAGGGGTTTTGATCAGTGAGTACAGAGTTGCTGTTTGGGGTCATACATGTGTCTTAGAAATATTAGTGATGGTTGTACAATAGTATGAATGTAATTAATGCCACCAAAGTGTACCCTTAGAAATGGAGACTAGTTATAGCAGCAATTTTGGTTATATATTATTTTCCACCGCAAAACTATCCATGGACTAAGCCACATTCTGCTTTCCCTTCTCCCTCATAGGTAGGTAATTAATGAAGAAAGAGCACTCTGGGTGTTAGGAGAATCCCCATATTTAGATGTTTTCACAGAACACTTACTGTGTTTTATTAAAATGGGTGGTAAATGTCACAATGCAAGAGAATTGTCCTCAAGCAGTCCCCTCTCTGAGTGTCCATCAGTGAGAAGCCTCCCAGGGGCTCATGGTATTGGCTGTGAATGATGCAACCCATGTGAACAAGAGTCACTGCTGGGGACGAGGGGACAGGCCACTAATGCCTCCTTTGAGCCTGTCCTTTAAGGTGAGCTGAACGCCTTTCATTAGAACAGGCTTATGACCTACCATAAATAGGACTCAGTCATTTTCTTGGGCAAAAGGACTCTGCCGCCCCCAGGAAGCCCCCTAATAGCTCAATAGGAGCAAGTGTCCCCTGCACATTGTTCCAGGGTTCCTGTAAGGAGACCCCCACAACCTCTGCTGAGAGCCTGGACCATGCCAGTTCCACAGGCCAGGTTGAGGTGCAAGATCCACTGGACAGATGCCACCCACCTGGTCCAGGGGGACCCCCTCCTAACCCCCTGCCTCACCTGACTTGCAGGTACAATGTGAAGATGCAAGCCTTTTTCACCACCAAAAAAAAGAGCATTGCAAATGGCAACCCCGCCAGTAACGAGCTGGAAGATGGTAATGACTTCTATGATGGTAGCTATGATGACCCTTCTGTGCCATTGCTGGGGCAAGGTAAGGCTGAGCAGACAGGAGTGGGGACATTTGTCATGGAAGCCACCTGCTTCCCTTTCACACACACATGTGCACATGCACACACACTCCTACACTGTCACACTCTTACTTTGGTCACAATCACCGCAAAGGAGGAGGGAGAATCACAGTTTAAGATTGGTGTCTGTTTAGCTGTTGGAAGGATGGAGGGAGGCTACAGCAGGAAAGAAAGCCCAGAGTTACAACTGTGGGAATTTGCCCAGGGCTAAGAGGCCTTGCCTTTTCTAACGATGTTGCTATGGAAACTTCTGGCTGGAGGTAACATCAAAGCTCTGTCCTCATCCTCAGTCTCCAGGCAAGTGGCTCTACAGCCACCACACCAGAAGGAGAGCAAGGACTGCCAGCTGGTGGATTCTTTCAGGAAACCACTCTCGGGCTGGGGATGTAGCTCAGAGTAGAGTGTTTGTCTAACATTCATGAGGCCCTCGGTTCAATCCCCAGCACCACAAAATAATTTTTTTTTAAAAAAGAACCTACTGTCACTCAACCTTATCATTTGGAGTGTTTTCCCTGTAAAATTTAAAAATGCAGAGCCCACCCTCTTGGCAGGAGAAGGGGGTGCAAAGTCCTTTCCCCACCTCGCTTATAAAATATCTTTTTATCCTGAAATGTTCTTAGTGATCACGTAGCTCAGCTCGCTAGATCAAGGTGCTGGCTGGTTTCCAGGGAGCCTTGCTCACAGCCTGGGTCACCTGACCCTCAGCTGCCATGTGTCCCAAGCTGGTCTAGCTCAGAGAGCTCACCAGAGGACACACAGCCTGCCCCAGGCATGACTTGGGTTGGGACAGGAAGGTGGAGGCGGTACTCAGTGGGTTGAGCTTCTGGGAAAACATGCTGTCATCATGGGGCCCTCTGTACAGCTGCCCTTGGCTTGGACACACAACCTCGTGGTGTCACTTGATGGATGGCACCAGGACAGGGTGTCCCATGAGTAGGTGTTATGGGTTCTGCCTCACAGAGCTCCATGGGCTCCTTCGTTCTGAGCCTATCCATCCCCAGGCAGCCCTTTTGACAGGGCTGGTTCTACAGAATGGATCCATAGGGCCTGCAGTATTGCTGGTGTCCTTGCCCTCCGAAATGGAGGCTCAAGCACTGAGGCTCCCTGGGGAAGGAGCCCGCTACTAACACCCTCCTTCAGTAACCCCCTGGCATCTTCGCCCCATCAAGAATGCTGCCCAGGCTCCACCACATGCTAATCATCTCTAGCAATCTCTGTCGGCCTCTGACTCCTTAACTCTCCTCCTCTTCTAAATTGTAAGTAATCTGCTCTCATGCAAGCAATAACACCTGCATTTAAACAATAAATAATCCCACCACGAGCCCAGCCCAACAGCACATGCCTCGTTGGAGGTTAGTGTCCACCTCCACAAATGCATGGGCCTCCTGGCTGTGTCTTCTAACCCACACGCCTCCTGTCTGCTGAGCCTTGCTGCCTGTGTGGTGGGGGTGTGTGTGTGTGTGGTGTGCAGTGTGTGCATCTTCGTGCCATTAACTCTTGCATGGGTTTGCTGTTTGGACCTTCCCGGCTACCTTACCACATGGGATCCGATAACCAGTGCTCAGGGTCAGCCCCATAGAGGGGACATCACTGCCTGTGTCTGTGTACTGTGTTCATGAACAATTCGGGGTTTCTGGAGGCCGGCGTCAAATCCCTCAGGACACCAGCACTCAGCATGTTTGGGAAGGTGGCAAAGAAGAGATCCAGGGCTTGGAGTTCTGTTCAGCCTTGTGAGGAGAAGGAAAGGGTCAGAGAGAACACAGCCCACCCGGTATGTCGGGGTTTGTCAGAGCAGCCACCGCGCACCCTGGAATAAGCAGGCTCTTCCCCTGGGTCTCTGTTGCCCAGTGTAGGGCCTGGGATCCGAATCCTCCATCTCACTGCTAGCATTATAGAAAATAAAGTCAGAAGCAGCATTGGGAGGGCAACCCCAAGACCAAGCAAGGGGCCTAGGGGCAGTTTAGAGCCAGTGCTGTCGACTGCTTCACAGCATTTTCGATTCCTGGGGACCCTGGTTGATTTGTAAAGTTTCATCTGAGCTCCTGGAAAAAGGTCCCGCCTTGAGGTGAAGGGTGCTGTCTAAATGGCCAGCACACTGTTCTGTGAGGCTTAGGTGAGGAGCAGAAAGGCCCTGACCATCAAAAAGGCTGGCCCAGAAGAGAGGGAGGGGCCATCAGTTGATGGAGAGGTCACATGTCACACGTCTGCCTGTGACGGTCCTGTAGCAGGGGATGAGCTGGGCTCTGTCCAACACGTGGGGGTTGCAGAACCAGTAATCCACTTTGAAAATGGGAGGAGCTGAAGCCAGGCCTCCAGACCTTCAGGCAGCCATGAGCTTCTGGTCCCGGGCCCTAGACATTCACAAGGCAAGGGGAAGCCAGTGGTCCCAGGCCTGGGGTGCTGTCCTCAGAGAGCTCAGCACTAATCATGGCGTTGTGCTCCATAGTGAAGGAGAAGCCACAATATGGCAAAAACCCCGTGGTGATGGTGGATGAGATCATGAGCTCCAGCCCTCCCAAGTTCAGCTTCCCTGAGGCCGGTTTGCGCATCATGATCACCAATAAGTTTGGGCCCAGGACCCGACTACGGATGGCCAGCAGGATCATAATTAACGAGGTGAGTCTACAACACGGGAAGAGCCAATGGCTGGGGATGGTCCTGGCTTGTTAGACCTCTTCCTTCATCATTTCCCCTGCACCTGCTTCAGTCATGTTAACCCCAGAATGTTATGAAGATTGTACCTGGAAAAACATCTAAAGATAGCTATCTTATACAATCTGTGTAAGATAAGATATCTTATACAATCTTCAGTTGACTGCTACTAAGCTAGAGCCACAACCCTCCCCATCACCACCGTTAGCCTTGCACTCCTCCCATAATTCTGTCTTTGCCCAGCTAATTGGACTCCAAGATGACCTTGCATTTAATCCTGCTTAAATAGCAGAATGTATGGCTGCATGCCTGGGTCTGGGTCTCAGGCGTAGGTCCCTTTGTTCTGTGGCAGACTAAGTGCTGTGGACTCTGTAGAAAACAGTTTAAAATTTTCCATGCTGCCTTACACTTTGTGCTGTAGGGGTCCCTGCCAAAAGCCAACATGCAGACAGTTAAATGGTCAATGCCTTTCTTTTAGAGCAATAACAGGATTTCACTTTCAGTGATAATGGCCTTTCTTCCCATAACCACAGGGACAGGTGCTGGGCACACAGTTAGAGGCTGTCACTGCCTTGGGGCTCATCTGCTGTCCCTTGGTTTCCTGCAGAAGTGATGAGAAGGGATTTATGTGTCCATCATGTGATGATCATTGCCACAAGGCTTCCAATTGATCCATAAATAAGCCAGATAAAGATGAGCTGAGCCAGTGGCCTGCTGATTTATTGGCATGTTAGCAGAAAGCCACAGGCCAGGCAAGGAAGAGCAGCCTGGGGTGGGTGGGACAGAGGTCGCCTTTAACAGCAGTCACTATGGGATGGAGGGAAGTAAGGGGCTGGGTTCGGTTGAGGGCATGCACCTTGGAAACCAGTGCCAGGTCAAGGACATCCACAGTCCTCAGAAGGGAAGGACATTTAGATGTGATCCAAATGGCCAGCAACCCAGGGAGATACCCAGTGACATTAGTCTTCCAGGGAAATGCAAACTAAAACCACAATTCTGATACTGCTCCACACCCACCTAAGTGGCTAAAATGTAAAGCCCTGACAATATCAAGTGTTGAAAGGATGGGAAGTAATGGACGGGATTGTTCTAAAAACCTGTAATAATGAGAGGCACATGGGGAGCCGGGTGACTGTGTGACACTGTATCAGCAGTCCCCGTGTCTGTCTTTTCCTGTCCACGCAGCGGCAGAGACTGATCAACTCGGCCAACAGTGTGAGCACCAAGCCGCTTCAGAACGGGAGACACGAGAACATGGAGAATGGGAATGTCCCCGGGGAAAACCCCGAGGACCCTCAGCAGGATCAGGAGCAGCAGCCCCCATCCCAGCCACCACCCCCGGAGCCGGAGACAGTGGAGACTGTCTTCCTGTCCCCCTTCTCTGTGCCAGGTAAGTTTGGGGGGCTGCCAGGCCATGGAGCCAGGTATCAGTATCCTCATTTCTCACTGGAGTTAGCCTTGTGGGCCCAGTGTCGTCTGGCTGCTGGCTTCTTGGCGACCTCATCTTTTCTGCTCCTTCTGTGTCCTCTGCCCCCGTCACACCAGCCTCCTCACTGCTGCTCCCAGACACCAGCTGTTCTCCTGCCTCAGGCCCTTTGCACTGCCCTTCCCCTGAGCATACTTTCCCCCGTTACCTGTGTGGCTCATTCCCTCACCCTCATGACTCTTCTTAAAGGTCACTCTATCAGTGTGGCCTTCCCAGATCACTTTATTTAAAACACTTTATATTTCCTTATCTTGCATGTCTCCCCCAACTAAAATGCCAGCTGCACAGAGGCAGGCATCTTTGTCTGTTTTGTTCACCGCCACACCCCCGTCACCTGTGCCTGCACACAGTAACTGCTTAGCAGGTACCTGTGGAATGTATGAGCTCAGGAGTTCACGTAGGAGAAGATCCCAGGATCCATGAGGTCCTCCGAAGTCCTAGACAGGAAATAAGGTCTTCAGATCCTGGGTCCCTGTACTGAGTTAGGTCTGACTTAGAGGTTCTTTCCTGGTGTCCACCATACTGAGAGGCAGCAGAATTCAAATCCCAAATGTGACGTTTTTCTGAAAAAAACCCTGTGTTTAGCATCAGGCTCACTGAGTACCTGATTTGGGGGTCTGGAGGGTTGGAGGCTGCACCTCTCACCCAGCCTTGGAGGGTACCCCTGACTCTACATGGACAGTGTAGGCATGCCATGCTGGGGCACTGCAGCTGTCCTTTGGGGTCACCGGCTTCTCCAGGGATGTCAGGGACACTGAGAGCAGAGGGAGTCACCTTCTCCAGACCCCGAGTCCCCAAGTTGAGTGAGCTGTTTGGACACACAGGTGAGGGAAGAGTTCCACAGGGCAGGGTCCTGGGTGGGCAGCAGGTCCCCCAAGAGAGCCAGTGGTGGGGACATTGAGCAGGGACAGCCCAGGTAGCTCCCGATACGGCTCCTGATACGGTAGTTCCTTCCTGTGGTTCCTGATGCTAGCCCAGTTCCTCTCCTGTGTCTGCGTAGGGCTGAGTAAAGGGACTCGAAATGTAACCGAGGTCACCAAAGTAGTCTCAGTTCCTTGGGGCATGGAGATCAATGCCAGGGAAGGCCGAACCATGCCCACAGCAAGGGGGGTGCAGACGGGGTTTCAGAAACAACCCAGCCAGCCGGTGGGTGAAGAGGTCCAGGCTGCCGTGTGAAGATGCGCATGCGTGTTCTTCAGCTCTGCATCCCCATTGCCCAGGCATGGGGCCCAATGGGATCTCAGCTGCCACCCTCCACTGTCACCCTGGTCCCATCTACTGCCACCCTGGTCCCATGCTGCCATGGCCAGGCATCTACAGGAAAACCAAGGGAGAGGTCAGCTCCTGCTCTATAAAGTGAGACCACCAGGTAGAAGGATGTCTCTCAGTATGCTTCCATCCTGGAGTGTGGCAGGAGTGGGTGAGGAGACCCCGGGCCAGCCACCCTCCTTTGTCTTGGGATCTGGTCCTCGTCAGAGACAGGCTGTAGCATCTCCAGGCAGGTCATCTCCCAGGGTGGGGGTGCTTAGAGTGCAACTATCTTGCAAGGGTGGGGATCTGGTGGCCCCGTCCTCCTGCTCCCAGGCTCTCTGCTCTAGGGAATCCTCCTCTAAGGCTGCCCTTCCTTGCTGTGGTTGGGGTTGGCCCATCCTCCTCCCCAGGCCCAGGCCTCTGGGATGGTCCCCTGTGCCCCATCATGTCCGTCCTCTCTGAGCCAAGTGCAGCGAGCTTCCTTCCTGTCCTCAGGAACAGGCCAGGGTTCCTGTGTCCCAGGGACAGCTCCCTTTGTCCTGCAGATGTGTTTCTAGGGTTGCCCTTGGAAACCACAAGTCACTTCCTCCTCCCAAGTCCTGTGGGCAGAGCAGCAGGTGGGAACAGAGTGAGGCAGCTGCTGTTTCAGGGTGTACAGCAGCCGGGGGCAATCAGAGCAGCCTAGGCAGAGGTTCACAGGAAGTCAGAGCAAGCCAGTGAGGCTTCGTGGCCAGAGAAAGTCCCAGGCCCTTCCCTAGCTGCCTTTTCAGCTAATCTCTGGTTCTGGATTCATGATGGCAGGGGATATAGGGTGACTCTGGTGTGTTCCTTAGGGGTGATGGTGTCCTAGGCCCCTAAGTGGGATCATAGCACCAGGGAAGGAGCACCAGGGACCATGGCCGTGGGAGAAGCCATCCCAGGGGCTCACTGGAAGCCCAGTGAGCATCAAGGGGTCAAGGAGCGGGGTTGGGACAGACCGATGTCAGCTCTTGTGTTGCTAGAGGAAGCCTGGGGCACTGGCTCTGGAGTCCAGAAGCTCTGGATCAGAATCTCAGTTCTCCAGCTCCCCAGCACCATGGCCCTAGGCCAGCAGCTTCACCTCCCTGAACCGCCATTCTCTATCCATGAAACAGGGGTGATGGCACATAGCTTCTGAGGTCGCTGTGAGTGGTCCGTCCGATAACCTGAACAATGTCCCTGTGCCCAGACATATGGCAGGTGCTCTGTAAATGTTCATTTGTACCCAAGTGCACCTTGGCCACATACAGTACGCAACTTCTTTGGTCTGGACCACCAGCAGTGTCCTGGAAAGGTCACAGGTGTCAGAATCTCTGGGGACCTCTGTGGCTGTCATTCCAGGGGCCAAGGGGAGGAAATTAGCAAGTGTTGAGCATCTGTTCTGTGCCAGGCACCGGGCGCCAGGTACTTTGCAAGCTCAGGGTCTCTTGGTCAGTAAATATCCAGCTATCAGACTCTGTTCCGGGCTTCCGGGACCTGAGGGGAGCAGGTTAGGCCACGGTCAGCATCCAGTGGCTCGCTGGCTGGGAGCCACCTGGTCTGACGCTGGACTGCTCTTCCCACTTGGGGTCCCAGAGGTTGGGAATCAGGCTTCCAAGGGAAAAGGAGGAGCTTTGTCTCCCATGGAAGCTATGGACTGCAGCCCCGGCTCTGCCCCTGGGCTCAGTGTGGGAAAGCCCCTGGCACAAGCTGTTATTTGTGGCTGACTTACAGTCTGGGATGTCCTGTGAGTACTCGGAGACCTCTCCCTGGCCCTCCAATATGACCTTCCTCTCCTGCTCCTTAGTGAAAGGAAATCACACTGGGCTCACCAGGATGCTGAGCTTCCTGTCCCCTATTGTTAGAACAGCTAGGACCCACTGGGGGCCTGCCTTGTCCCAGGCACAGGGCAAAACAGACTGTTCTTATGGCGCTCTGAGTCAGCCCACTGGGGCTATCATCGCAGAATGGCCTGGGCTGGTGCTTTAGCAACAGAATTGATTTTCTCCTAGTTCTGGAGGCTGGGAGTCTGAGATCGGCTGCCTGCGTGGTCGGGTTCTGTTAAGAGCCTCTTGCTGGCTGTGCTCTTACTGGCTGTCTCTGTGTACGCACCTGGAGACAAATCCAGCGAGGTCTCTCTTCTCTCCTTGTAGTGATTCGGACTCCTTTTATGACCCCATTGAACCTTAAGTATGTCTGAAAAGCCCCATCTCCAAATACAGTCACCTTAGGGGTTAGGGCTTCAACATACGCACTAGGGTAGCAGGGTCGCAGTTCAGTCCTTCGCAGGATCTCTGGGGGCTTCTGGGTGCCATGCCCTGTTTGAAGAGTTTTGTGTGTGTTCTGTCACTTAAGCCTCAAAATAACATGAGATGGGATGACGATTATCTTCATTTTACAAAAGAGGAAGGAAGCACGCAGAGCTGTTGGATGACTTGCCTGTGGTCGCCCAGTGACTAACTGGAAAGCAGTTTCCGCCTGAGTGGCTCATGCTAGCTCTGGTGCTGCCTCTGCACCCTCGGCACCTCCATTTACTCCTCACAGCTACCTTGTTAGGGTGTAGTGCCATCATCCTCACTTCACAGAGAGAGAACCTGAGGCTCAGAGAGGCAATGAGGCACCCTGAGTCACACAGCTATGACACGGGAAGCGACTGTTCGCCCTGCACTACCCGGACTGTGGCTGCCATCAGCCTCTGTCCAGGAAGCCAGTGTCTTCCAGCTTGTACACAGATAACTGTGAATGTGCTAAGTCCACTGTGTTGTGTTGAGTCAGGTTGAGGATCCTGGGGGCTTGGATGGTACCACTCACCCATCTCTTCCTGTATTATAATAAAACCCAGAACTGGCAGTCAGGAGATGTCCTTCTCCGCATTCACTCCCATCTTCCTCAGGCTTAGATGGCTTCTAAGAGTCCTGCTGGTTGGGAAGAGGGTGACTTCTAAACCTAGGAACCGGGTAGTACAGAAATGGGACCCTTCACAGATCCTTGTACCTTTCTTTCCTCTCAACTGGGAAAACCATAGAGAAGCTGCACTTTCTGTGGCTCATTGACATCTTGCAATTCCATTCTTGACTCTGTCTGGCCCTAGCCCGAGTCACACAGCACTTAGGGTGGAAATGACCTTGTTTTTGCTTCAGTTGTGGCAGCTGCCTTAGAGATTGCCCTAGACATTTCATCAACTGTGTCACAAGCCGAGGTCAGCATTTCAAAGATGCACAGCCAGTTACTCTTCGTATCACTGAAGTGTCAGTGCTCATATGAACAAATGTTGGCTGAGCATTTTTTACTTTTTGATACGATGGCGTTATTGTGACATAATTCCCTTAGAGTATTATTCATACCATTCTGTGCCAGAGTGTGACTCCGTGGTACACAGATTGCACAGTGAGGAAGAGACTCTGGGCTCCACCCCCAGTACTGTAAAAAAGAGAAGTTGTAAAGTCTACAGTTCGGTGGCTTTTGGTGTGTTCACAGTGTTGTGCAGCCATCACCATAATCAATTCTAGGACATTTCTGTTCCCTTCAAAAATCCCATACCCATTAGCAGTTCCTCCCTTTAGTTTCTCTGCCCTTTCCCCAGGCCCTGGCAACTACTAAACTACTTCCTGTCTCTTCGGATTTGTCTACTCTGAATATTTCATAGAAATGAAATC